CAGCCCCACTCTCTATAGGGGTGTGTGGTACTAGGAGGGGTCCGCTGGGGGTCACGAGTGCGGTGCTGAGATGGAAAGGACACCGACAGCACGTCAGGCAGAACTTAGGATGGTAAGGAAGAGAAGCTACTCCTTGCCAGACAGGTTCATGCTTGAACTTTTGCTGCACAAGTTCTCCCATGAGCCTTTCATCTTGTAGCTGGAGTTTAAAAAGCCACACTATGGTTAGTGGAAGGAGTTAACTTTTTTTTTTTTTTTTTGGGTAAAAGGCAGGTAGGACTAGCCCTTCTTGTGGTGGTTTATTTGACTCATTGCATTAGTTTAGAGAAAGGGCTCCCAAGCTGGAGCTTTCCTGGATATTTTCTAATTCCTGATTCTGCACAGGACGGGATATATGCTCAGGGTTGTATTTAGCAGATGTTGGGGGGACATTTTAGTGATTCACATGCATTAATGGGGGGCCTCTGCTTGTTGATACTCAGTTTAACTGGTTGCAGGTTCGCATCTGCATTCCTTTCTTGTGAGGCTGTTTTTACTTCCCAGTTCAGAACCAAGGAGCCTCCTCAGTGCTGTGCAGAAGCCCAGCCCAGGTGACAGGAGTGCCCTGCAGGTACTTCTGAACCCACTCATTAGCACTTACCAAGGAGGCACCTTTGGATGCTAAAGCAGCATTTTCATGGTGCAGTTTACTTGTTTTTCCTGGCCATGTTTGGGAATGGGCTCTGAAATGACCATTTTTAGGGAGAACCATAAGAAGTGACAGCAGGCTATGTGGGTCTTTGTAAACAAACCAGTGTTGGCCATGATGGTACAGAGGACAGAGCTCTTAAGCCTCCAACTCCAGGTCAAATTTGACAAGTCTCATTCTGTAAATCCATGAGCCATCTGTGGTTTTCATTGTACCTCTTGCAAGGCATCCATCCCTACGTTTTTCTTTGTACCCACAGAGTGAAGTGGGGAAACTCTGGGCACAGAAACTTTGAAACTTCTGCATTTGTTGTGTGTTCTTTTGCAGGTGCATTTTTTTTTTTTTTTTTGTAATAAACTGAAAAGAAAATGCTGTCTTCGTAAATTAACATGTCAGATGGGAAAGAAAAATCTGAAGAGGCAGAAGTAATGTTTTTCTTGGTCTGTTTGATATGTTAGTGCTCTGCAAAATCTTTTAGCATGTGCTTAGAAAAACTGGTGGAGCAAACTTTTGAGGATCTTTTTATGTAAGTGAAGCTGTAAAATTACTTCTGCCTCCTTTGAATCAATGGAGAAAGGGATTTTCTGTTAGGAATAAACAGGAATAGAAGTGCAAGTGTCATATTGTGCCTGCACAGAGCCAAGAGCACAAATACCGTGCAGGATCGTGTCCCTTGTCGGTTCAGCCAGTCTGTTGTTACCTGATTAACTGTTGTACGGATACTTTTTTGGGGGAGGTCCCTAGTTCCTGCTGGTCAGGAGCAGTCAGAGCAGTGTGCTGTCCCTAAGCTGTTAAGTGGCTAATTAGAGCCGGTGTGAGTGGCGCTTTGAAAAGCTCCTGTGCTGCACCTTTGAGCCTGCAGAGCTCGTCCTTAGTGTGGTGAGCTGAGCCTTGGTTATTCCACTCTCCTGTGCCCTTTCCTGCCTGCCCCCAGCTCCAGGTTAAGTCCTGCTTTAGCTAATACCAACCATCTGTCTAGGTGGATCTCTCCCGGCAGGGACTCCCTGCGCTGCTCCACAGGGTTGCTGTCGACCTCTGCTCCCTTAACTCTGTTTCCAAGTTTTCTTTGGCACTGGTAGAACTGGTTTCTTTTGGCATTCAATTAGCATCTGCTTCCCCTTATCTGTCCTCCTCAAAAGCCCCCCCGGGGCGGCTGCAAAAGCTTCAGCCCCGAGGCTGGTGGTTCTTAAACTGTCTCTGCTGCTTAATCAAACAGGGGCATGTTTAAGAGGGGCTGAGGAATGGATACTGATGAAAGCATCTTGGAACAGCATCACAGATCACTGTTATTTGGGTTGAGGGAGTAGAAATAACATGGAGAAATAGCATAAGGGGCTTGTCATCAGGTAGGCAAGCTTGACTACTGGGTGCCTCAGATTAGGTGTCCTGGGGGAGCGTGGAGCTGAATATTCCCCAGAATTTAAAAAGTAAATAGGAGGCAACTTTTTTTTTCCTACATATTTTCCCATTAACGTTCCAAAGAGAAGAGCAGGTTTTTTCTGTGCTAAGTCTGTGAAGATAAATGAAGACAAATGTTGCAGGAAGTGTTGGTAGAAGTGATTTAAATTTTCTTTTCTGTGAAAAGTTCCATATTCTCTCCTGGTGTCTGTAGTAATGCTCAGTACATTACTGTAATGTCAGAAATACTCCTTAAAAAAATAAATAGGTTGATCTTTTTTCTTGTTTAAGCCTGAGCTGTTAGCCTTCTGCCAAGCTGAGCTAGGACTTCAATAAATCATCCAGCATTTACTCCCTGGTGCGTAATGGAGACACGTACTGTGCTCCTGACACAACAGGAAGCCCAAATCCTGCCACAGAGTGCAAACCTGGCTCCAGTGAATCCTCCCTGAACCTGGCTGACAGTGCTTTCCTCCTTGGCTTAATTGTTGCTTCCTTATCTTTGGAAAGCCATCCCAAAAGCAGGCAGGAGTTGAAGGGATGCTGTTTCATTTGCCTCCCAAGAAGGACTTGCTTTATAAATAGCAACGTGGAAATATTGTAAAACTCTCAGCTGCTAATAAAGGCTCTTTTCTTTTCTGTGCAAGTTACAGTGTAGCACTAATAGCAGCTGGGCAGTATTTGTGCTTTCCTTTACCTTCCTGGGATGTCAGATGCCCTGTCTATTTTGGGCACCATATATCCAACTCTAAATGGAGTGTAGTCATTGATTCCTACTTTGGACTTCCTGGATTTCATTTCTGACTGCTGCTTTTCCACATTTAGTTTCCAAAAAATACTTACTGCAAGTCTGCTGCTTATACTTACATGCAGTTTCCATTCTAATAAACATTTTCCCTTCAGATTTCTCACAAATCCAACACTTTGAGGGCTGCCCCACTTGTGCTCAGTCTCAGGGTGCTGCCTGTAACAGCCCTTAACTTGTATCGACGGGATCATGGTGGCAGTAAATCATGGAACAGAGGAACCACGAGTAATCTGGGCATTGCTTCTAGCAGGGCAGTGAGGCCAGGATGTTAATTTAGTTGATTCTCTTTCTAAAGGAAATTTGATGCAATGTTTCATTCCCCCTCTTTTTAACAGAGTGTTGAGTTACTAGTTCATTTTTTAAATGGAAAAGCCAGGATCCCTACTGCTTTTCATTCTCTGTCTGGTTCCTTGAAGGATAAAATCTACGCCTGGTAGACATTCAGCCTGCTGTGTTCTGCCCTCAGTAGCTTTGCTCCTGATCTCTAAGACAGTCACTAGGCAATGGCATGGCTGGGTGTGAAAAAGATTGTCCTCTCTCTTTGGACAGGTGGGAGGGCTCCTGCTGGCTCTGGGGCATCTGGGATGTTACCTGCTGGCTCCAAAACGTTTCTTCTGGTTCTTTGTGTACTGCAGTTCTTGTGCCTCAAAGGGGTGGCAATAGAGGAGGGAAAAAAACTTAAATGCAGCTGGTGCTGTAGCCTATGGAATATTTGGGCAATGCAGGTTTCATTCTTTCAGGTGACACTTCCTAGAGCCACAGCAGCACTCTTCTGCCTTGCCAAAGGTCAGAAATGAGAAAAATATTAGAAATAAGCTTTGAACTATGCTTGGGGAGGAAAAAAAGGTGCATTATGGTAAATGCTGTGATGCACAGCCCTTCCCGACTTTGTTGATCAAGATGGCTTTGCCTTAGTGCCTGCTGTTGTTTTCACTACGCCTGTTTTCTCCCCCACTATTTGTCTCATTCCCCAAATCATTTTACAGGAGACTTTTCTTAGTCTCAAGTGGCTTTAGCCAAGCTATTTCCTCTCTTTGTGCTTTCGCTTCCCCAGCTGTAAAATGGGGATAATGAGACCTGCTTGCTTTTGTCAGGCACTTAGAGATGTGCTTACGAAATGCGCTATTAAAAGGCTTTCTATGTATAACTGCTATACAAACAGCGGTTGTCCAAGTTTATTTGAATTATTTTATTAAAGCCCAACGTTCTGAACATCCTTTGTTTTTAACAGAGGATGTTATTTATGCAGTAAAAATGCCCAAAATGTGAAGCTATTGATTGCTGCTGATAAGTTTATGGATATTAAAGCATTAAATCATCACTGCCCATTATCAGCCGTTCTGGTGTCTTTGGAAGCTGAAAGTGGTTGTGCATAGCTGGGGCCCCTGATTATCTCAGTGATCAATAAAAGGTTTTCAGCAGAAGCTTTTATTGCCACGTGGTTAAAATGTTCTTCCTGTGCATCCTGTACATGATGACTTCAGCTCGAGGAGAGAGATAGAACAATCCTTTGTGGGGTAACTGGATTACACAAAGAAATGTGGGCATTATGTTGAAGTAGATATTGCTACTTGCAGTTTCAGTTCCCCTCCACCACCTACTGCACTCCCTTATGCTGGGAGGGTTTTCTTGCCTCTCATTGTGTTTGTCCAGCAAGTTTTGAGCATTTTAATTACAGCAAACCCACAGTATTCAGGGAAAGGAGGAAAGAGTTGGAAGCAGAGAGGTAAGTAAAATCAGAGCTACAACTGGGCTAAACTGTTTAAAATCTGTGTGTCTTGCTAGCAGAGGAGTGACCACTTCCTCGTGAATGTGGAAGGACAGAACCAGTCCATGAAAGGAAATGCAGAGCCCCATCTGAAAGCACCGAGTGCTGAAAGCACCATTTCGGTGATGTCTGCAGGAGAACTTTGTACCTGTCATCTTCTGTTGCTCCTCTCTGAAGTCCTGTGGTCCTCTGCCCTGCTAAAATGCTGACACTGGAGTTGAGGCCCTGAAATACCTCTAAATGCTCCTGTGAATTTAGCATTCCATTGCTCACTCAGAGTACAGTGTGTAACGTGGCGCTGTGAGCAGCTCAACAGCACCTTTCCCTTTGTTTTGCAGACAGTTTCCATCCTGGAGCAGAGGCTGACGCTCACTGAAGACAAGCTGAAGGAATGTCTTGAGAATCAGCAGAAAATCATTCAGAACAAAACGAACTGATTTCCTGAGAGAAGTGGTATTGGGAGGTTTGAGGTTGTTTGTGTTCCCAACAGACTGTGTGTGACTTGCTTTAGCAATTTTGAGCACAATCTATTTTTCACTTGAAATGTATAGTTATTGTATCTGTAAATAGCTTTGTTACTTTACTAAAATAAAAGGAATATTTTATTCATAAGGGTGGATAACAGTTGTGATCTCTTGTGCTTTCCAGAGGTACAGCAGCCGGCGTGTGGACTGAGTACTAACCAGGAAGGTCGCCCCTCTCCCACCCTGGGGCTGCTAAGTCAGTTTTGAATGTTCAAGCATCTTGGAGTTGCCAAATGCCTGGCACAGGCTGTATTAGGCTTGTTGCTGAGGTGTGTGCTGGCTGTAGGTGACAAGCAAAGTGCTCTCAGGATGTTTTGGGCAGTGGTAGTTCACCTCTATTCTAGGACCATATAAAACAGGTGAGGGGGACTCAGCTGGCACCTGTAGAAGGGTGTGTCTTAGCCAAGTCCCTGGTGGTACCTGGCAAATCTGACAAAGCAGTTGAGACCCTGGGTGGTGTTTGTGCAGAGGTGATTAAACCCAGTGGTGGGGTTTAGCTGCTCCCTTGTGCAGGGTATGAAAAACAACTGCTTGAGGCTGGAAGAGAGGTCCTGGTGTGTCAGATGCAGGGCGGATTCCAGGTGGATTTTGCTTTGTCTTTGTCTGCTTCTTAAATTAAAGACGGGGAAGGGGAGAGAAAGGCAACCAAATAGTGGAATGTTTTCTCCATCGTGGAACTCCCCTCTTCTCATACTGGACTGCCTTTAATTTTTGGTCATTTTGCAGATGTTTTCACAGTTGAATAGCTCATCACTGGTGCCCTCCTCCCCTCATCACTCCTGGCTTTTTTGGGGCTTTAGCAGGTGTTCAGTATGTAGCTACACAAGAATTTGGACTTCTGGGAGATTCAGTTCTGCAACGCCTCTTCTGCTAATACATACTGGAAATCTCCTTTCTTGCACTGAACTGTGACCCACATTCCTGTACAAATGAGCTGCAGGAACTCGAGAAGCTTGGGGTTAATGCAACCCTCCTCACTCTGTCGGATCAGGCTCCTCAGTCCCTGCCCTTGGTGGTCCCTCATGCCACCACTGCTTGCCAGCCTCGCACAGCTTCCAGAGCCAATCTCCACATGTGCTGTGGGCACTCTGGATTTTTGCCTGAGGACTGGCTGTCATCCTTACCTCACATGGGGCTTAGCCGATTTTAAGGCCAGCCTGTGCAGTTTTCGGTGTGGGTTGGTTTTTGGGTTTGCTCCTGTTTCTGTTGCAGGCTGTGTTGGCAGGTACGGTGTCTCGTTAGTGTTAATGCTCCTTGTCCCACCTGGGTGAAGCTGCTCGTGTTTCCCTGCTGGCACCAGGAAGCTGCTGGTCTCCTTCCCTCCTGGTACTCTGTGCATCTCTAAGAACCCCTTTCTGGCTTTATCACAATATTTCACTCCTTCATTTGCAGGAGCCTGAGAGCTTTCTCATTTCCATGCTTGGTTGATGATGAGTTTCTCTCTGCCACAGACTTTGTTTTCTGTTTCCAAGCTCTTAGTCTGATATATCATTTTTTTCCCTCAGATTGCTCTAATGGAATCAATTCACTGGTGATATTCTGTGCTCTTGCTCTAAGCTTTCTGTGGCTTTCTGCTGAGACTGACATAATTTTCACTAAAATGAGTTTATATGGGGATGGGTGGGGAGAAGGGGACTCAAAGGTACCTGTGGCCAGTTTGCTGCTGGGAAAAGGCAGTTTCTTCCCTGATCTGCTGCTTCTGAAGCGATGACAAAGGTCAGATGCAAGAGCCTAAACCTTCAACTTGATCCTCAGTGTTGTGGACCGGCCTTTGGGATGGAGGTTTGAATGGGATAGGAAAGTTTAAGCATTCCACCATCAGTTTTTAAGCTTAGCTTTAAAAATAGCCTTTGCATCCTTTTAATGTGTAGTTTCTAGTGTCTTAGAGACCACAGAAGCAATTTGTATCTGGCATTTCAGAGAGGATGGCAACACAAATGACACACTTGATGTGTGCCCAGAGGTGCCGCTTCTGGGCGCAGTTGGTACAGACGCCTTTTTCTTTTCAGATGTTCTGAGTGAATCCATTTGAAAGACTCAGTTGTGCTTCAACAGCTGATGGAGTGCTCAGGTGCTTAGGGCAAGCCAGAGGGATGTAGAATGTTGTGGCTTAACCCCAGCCTGCGACTAATCCCCACACAGTGCCTCTCTCACTCCCTCGTAGTGGGACGGGGGAGAGAAACAGAAGGATAGAAGCGACAGCTTGTGGGTTAGGATAAAGGCAGTTGAACAGGTAAGCACAATCCACAAGCAAAGCAAAACAAGGAATTAATTTACCACTTCCCATGGGCAGGCAGGTGTTCAGCCATCCCCAAGACAGCAGGGCTCCATCATCCATAGCAGTGACTTGGGAAGACAAATACCATCACTCTGAATGTCCCCCCTTTTCTTCTTCTTTCCCTGGTTTTGTTTGCTGAGCCCCTTGGGTCAGTTGGGGTCAGCTCTCCTGGCTGTGTCCCCTCTCAGCTCCTTGTGCCTCCTCCTTGGTGGAGTGACAAGCAGAAAAGGCCTTTACTCAGTGTAGTCACTGCTCAGTAACAACTGAAGCATCCCTGAGTCACCAGTGCTGTTTCCAGCACAATTCCAGAGCAGGCCCATGCTAGCTACTGGGAAAAAGAATTAACCCTACCCCAGCCAAAACCAGCACTTTGGGAAAGTCGCTCTTCTGGGCTCAACTTCTTGTTCAATGTTGTTGTAGAGGTAATTCGTATTCCCTCTCCTCCTGACTTCCCATACCCACCCTAACAACCTCTGTATGATTTAGGTGGCAAGAAAAGTAATCTGAAAGGAATTTCTTCTGACAATACTATCTACCTCAAGCATTTCCTTGCCCTGAATCTCAGCAACTTCATTCCCCCCCTTACAACCTCTTACCTGGAGTAGGATATCAGGACTTCAAATGTGCCAGCAACTTCTATGGGGTGGCTATTGCTTGAGAGGAAGGCAATGTTTGGAAAATACAAGGGTTACATTTTAATCCTTGTGCTTAAACATTGAGCAATAACCTCAAAAAAAAAAAAAAAAATCTGAGGAGCCCAAATCCTATTGCCTGTCTTTTCCTGAGGCTCCTGCTTTATCCACTAAGCACCATGGTTTTTGAGCACTGGGGAGAGAATAGCCTCCGGAGTGAGTTAAATCCACTTTTATTTTTATAATCATTATCTATTTTTTTTTTCTTGACTTGGGCACATCTGCAGTGTCCAATTCGTGAAGCCCTTAACTCAGGGAGCAGTAAAACAGCCAAGTGAGGAGGAGCACATTGTTTGTACTTGGGCTCCCATGGCCTCTGCACTGCATGAGGACATACCCTGCCTTGAAAACCACTTGTGGGGAGCTCTGCGCAGGGGTGAGGGGGGCTACGAAGAGTTAAAGATTTTGTTTTGGATCTCCAAGGCACGATGGAAGCCAAGTTCTTAAAAAAGTAGTTTAATTTGTTGCCATTACATTTGCCAGACGTATGACCTCACTAAACTTTCAGCAAGGGTTCTTTGTGCCGAGATTGGCCCCTGGGGAGCCCGGTGCTGCTGCAAATGGCTTTTTGGCTGCTACGAGCGTGGAGCATGTTAAACATAACCACGATCTGTGAAAAAGTAAGAATCTTCAAGCACTGCCCACTTTCCTTCCTGTCTGGGAGCTGGAATTGGACAGATACAACAGCAGAGCTTGTTACTGAATAGGCAAAACCAGCAGAGCACTGTGGTACTGACTCTCCTGGCCGGGAAGTGCGATGGCCGGGAGCATCCTCTGCCCGCGGGGCCGTCACTGGATGCGAGTCTGCCAGCCAGCCTGGAGATAAATCCAACTATGATCTAAGTAGCTGGGCTAAAACTAGCCAGCCTCGTGGTGCAAATCGCTTATTATATAACCTCTTTAAAGAGCTGCTTTTGAACGAAGTGTTTTTTGAAACTCTTGAGTAGGAGGGGAGGGAAGCGAATCGTTTTGCGAAGGTTTGTCACTCTGACGTGAGAGCAGGGCTGCGGTTCTTCTCTTGCTTTTAGAAGCGGTTGGTCTACAAGTGGTTCTCAAGTGGCATGACCTGATCACCTGTAGTTTTGGGAAGAAAATACAATGGGAAAGAAGATTCTCTTATATTGATACTGGTCTGTGTATATGACCTGGATTTCCTGTGCTGTAGGAAGTTCTATGTGTGTCCCGGGGAAAGCTGGGATCTATTTGTAGCTCTGCAACAGAACTGTCATTGCAGGCAGACATGTCTGTTCTCCTTGTCAGGGGAGACAGCTATAAATTACTTCCTCTGTCGAGGTACAGGTTCTGTGAAAGAAGAGCTCGTCAGAGATTTGAATGTGGTATGTCAGGGAAGAGGGAGATGGGCTTCCAGGACTCAGGTCTGTGGCATCCCTTACTTTCTTGCTGTCTCCCTGTAGCACAGCAGCCAGTGCTTCTGGTGAAGGTGTGCTGCACAGCACAAGTGGTGGCTGTCACCTCAGGCTTCAGATGGTGTTGGAAGCTACCTGGTATCACTTCTGAGCAAAGGTGGGGGGAGATGCCTGTTGGGAGGGGGTGCTGTGGGTGGTTTCTGGTGAGGGATGAGCCTCGTGGACACTGGGGACGTTCTGGCACAGGGCAGCTCATTGTCTGCTGAGCTGCAGCTGAGACGGGCCAGGTGACCACTGCTCAGGGCCATGAATTTGCCATCTGCAAGGAAGTCTTTCCCCAGTGACCACCTTTAGATTTTTTTATACTCATTCCAGCCCTCCAGCCCTTCCTCCCTGATAATGCAGTGCAGCTGGAAACGCACCGTTTTGTTGTCACAAAAATGTTAGGCTTGAATCAGTGCCGTGACCCAGTGCCAAAAACCTGTCACCTCTGTTCTCCTTCGCCGTTTCTGCTCCCTGCAGGCATCTTCCATGCAGTTAATAACTCACTGCTGCCTTCCAGACACCGGGCAAGCTGAGGATATGGTGGTGCTCTGTGTGGCACAAGGATTTTTCTGTAAATCTCCAGTGAGAAGTGCTGCAAAGGCTGGTCCTGCTCACACCAGGAGCTTGTGGCTGTGTGGAGTGTGTTCTGCTGGTGGTAGCTGTTCTTTCAGCTGGTGACTGAAAGGGTTAAGCTAAGTAGCTGCCT